GCTGGGCCCGGGGGCCGCCGCCGCCGCCGCCCTGGAGAACGAGAGCCCCGCCTTCGCCCCTGGCCCTGCCCAGCTGAGTGCAAAAGCACACGTTTTCTGCCCCCAACGAAAACCTCTGATCAGCAAGGAAAACATCCTGGTGCACCCCTCCATTTTGGCACCCGAAAGGCCGTTTTGGAGAGCTGCGGGAGATGGGGAGAACTGGAGAAAAGAAAGTTTGAGGTGATTCTAATCTAATCTAAATTTACAGTGTGCCCTTAGGGGTTCTTGCTGAGTGTAGGACCCAGCCCTAGCTCCTCCTGGTGGCTCCCAGTTTTAAGAAAGGCCCAGAAGCAGGTGGTTGCCCATCCTGTCCCAAAGACCACTTTGCAGTACTCAAGGGGGTGTGAAAGTTAAGGTATGTGGTTCTTCAGTCACTGTGCTGCTGAAACAATCTCAATTCCCCCTTAATTCCAGCGGCTCCTCCTGGACGGGGCGGGGGTTGGTTGTCCACACCACCTGAGGCTGTATTGCTTCTGCCCGCAGCTCTTTCTTTTAGACCTTGCCCTCCAGGGAACTTCAGGTGGCCAAGTTGTCCCAGGTGATCCAGAGCCAGGACTGCCTTAGCACTTTGCTGAGCGTCTCTTTCAGGCTGAAACTCACAACAGGCCCCTATAAAGACCCCCTTTGCTTTCAGGATTACAGACTGCATGAACTAACGCAGAGGTTCTCCACCTTCCTCATGCCCCGACCTTTTATACAGTTCGTGGCTACTTCATCACTGTCATTTTGCTACTGTTACGAATCAGGGGACTCCTGTGAAAGGGTCTTTTGAAGAAAAAAAAAAAGGGTCTTTTGACCCCCAAAGGGGTCTCCAACCACAGGTGGAGAACCACTTAACTAAGGGAAGTGCAGGAGTTAGCTGGAGACCAGTCAGCAATGGCTGGAGGGGAAAACAAAGGGACACGCTCGCAGCCAGTGAGTGATATGTTTAGAAGGAAACTCAGGCCCTGCTGCCATCCGGGCTCCCCGTGGGCCAGGAATGAAGCTGGTTTTTACAGTTGGAGCCGCACAGAGATTGTCGTTATTGCCTCAGGCACAGTCCGTGATGGCCATGATGAATCTAGCCCGCATGATGTCACTGATTGAGCCATTTTTGAGTAGCCTCTAATTGCAGCGTGGATAACAAGTTTTCATCCTTAAGGTGCAGCTAACACTGAGTCCCTCTGACAGTTTCTTGAAGGAAGAGCTAACGCCCCACCTTTCCCCCCTCCCTCCCTCCCTCCCTCCTTCCCTCCTCCCCTCCCACCCTGGAGCTGCAGGAAAGATGTGGAGAGAGAGTTGAAGGTTGACATGCCACTCAGCAATTCTAGTCAAGAAGTCACAAAGGATCTGCTTGATATGATAGGTGAGTATGGAGGACGGGCATCTCCTTGAGAGGAGACGCCCCTCACGCAGGCTCCTGATGCAACAATAGCCTTGATTGGAAGCCACGCTCTTCAGTGGGCAGATTTGTTGTGCTCATGGCAAGATCTGTCCGCAGAGCAGTGAGCCAAAAAAAACCCTAGCCCTGTCCCTCCCAGAGTGAGGACCACCTCTGGGGTGGGGACAGCAGTCAGGCCATTTCATCAGGACAGGGAAGCCCCCAGGGAAAGAGACAGCAGCCCTGTGGTGTGACAGCTCCGCTGACAGAGGAAGGCCATCACGAGGCAGAGAAGACAGAGCAGTCTGGCTGAGGGGGTGAAGACAGTCGGCAGAAAGATCAGCCAAAAGCTCCCCTTCAAGTCCTCCCCCTGACAGAGTCCCTGCCCACAGAGGCCCTGGATGTCCCTCCAGACCTTTTGTTTGACGCACGCGTCCTCGGTGTGGACTTTTTAAACAGCGAACAAACAACTCTTAGGAGAGGGCATCCAAAATGTCGTGATCTTTTCATTCCGTTTCCCACAAACTTCTAGAAGTCCCCTGGTAGTTAGGGGATGCAGTGTCCTGGGCACTGCCTGAAGCTGTTTGTTCTGAAGGGCTTCCAGATTCTGGGGGTTAAAAGGAGGCCTGGATGCGGAGAGGTGCTGGCTCTAGACCACAAAGCATGACCCCTGCCAGCCCACCACTCCATCTGGAGAAGCCCTCCTCTCCCCAGAGAGGAACTGGTGGCATAATGCCTCTGCCCTGCCCCTTCCATGATCCTGGCCATGGTACATGGGTTGCCATGTACCCATCACACCTTATTCCTGCAGGTCAGGGAGTTAGTTCCCTGGGAGCCAGGACAGGCAGGCACAGCTCTGTGACCTTCTCTGAGCACTGTCCTTGGGGGCTGGCAGATAGTTGGGGTCTGATAAATGTCTACCTTCATTTGGCCACTCTGTGGGCCTGCCTGCCCTAGGTGGGAGTGCCCCATTTTGCACGATACCTGAAGATTGACCACTTGCTTTTAAACTTGTGTCTGACATGTCCGAAACCTCTCACTGGGCTTATAAGGCTGAATGTTCTTATTTTAAAGACCATACGAGCATCCGGACTATTGAAGAACTGGCTGGCAAACTAGAATTTGAAAACGAGTTGAACCGCATGTGTGGTCGCTGTGACAGCTCTCCCTTCAAGGAGGAAGCCTGGGCCCTGTTCGTGGACGACAGCCCTCGGAAGGCCTGGGACGTTGACCCTGGGGGGCTGAAGCAGGCTTTTGACGATCACAATATCATTGAGACGGTTCTGGACCTGGAGGAGGACTACAACCTGATGAACTCTTTTAAGTATCACATTGAGTAGGACGCTGTGCTTTTAGCTGTGATTGTGAGGCTTGGGGGTCCGGAGCCCGTGCAGCCCGAGCAGTCGCAGCCGTGGCGGCAGTGGCCGGGCCCTGCGTTCTCAGGGAGTGGTCACCTGTGAATTGCCACACCAGTTTTAACCACACCCGTTGTGCCCCTTTTTGTGCTGAGATCCCAGTTTTGATATTCTGTTACTTAAAGACTGTTAGTTTTTTTTTGGTTTTTTACACTTTTGAATGTTTTTATGGCTGTTCAGTACACCCAGCACCTGAGACCAGGGTGGGTGATGGGCCTCTGCTGTGTTTCTTGTGTTCTTTAATGTGGACCCCTGCGAGAGTGTCACAGGCCAGGGCTTGAGTGGCCGACAGCATCCTTGTTCCCCTCCTGACAGGATGAGGAACAAGGCCCCATGAGGCCTTCCTGTGCCCTGCTCCCCCTCCCCCCTCGCCCCCCACCTCTACCCACAGCCATGCCAACAAGCTGGGTCTTCATCGGAGGGGTTGGGGAGGGCAAAATAAACCTAGGTCCGTCCTGCCCATCCACCTTCTTACCTGGGCCGCATCTGTCCACTGGAGCCCTCGAGAAGCCACAAGAAGCTCCCACTGCAGTGACCCTGCTGGAGAGACAGTGTTGTGGGAGAGAAGGGCCAGCTGCTCTACCTTTGGGATCAAGCAGAGGCAACAGCTTAGCAGGGCTGACTCCAGCCCCACCCTCTGGAAAGGAAGACCCTCTCCTGAGGTTATTTGGGCAAATCCTTTAAACTGTGACCGTCTCTGGAAACCTTATAGCCAGCGAGCATGTCTCCAGCTCTTGGACTTGGGCGGGAAGGTGGCTTAGGCGCGCACAGGGAGGGTTTGCAAGACGCAAAGGCAGGCCAGACGGAAGAAGAGCTGGGGAGGATCGTTCTTGTCCTTGGGGTCCAGTGGCCAAAGGACCCACCCTACAGGGCCACCTGCCAGGCAGGTGACCAGCCCAAGCACACTGCTGGGAAGGCTTCAGAAATAGTGGCACCCTGGCTCTGTGTCTAAAGATTCCTTGTCCGAGCAAGGTCCAGCTCAGCAGTCCTAGTCCGAGCGAGCCCCTGGGAGCAATGGCAGGGCCAGGCCCTTACCATCCCACCAGCCTGTGTGCCGACTCCCATCTGGACCATCCACCACTCGGTTCTTAGGGAAGGTGGCCCCTCAGTAAGCATCCACATCTCTTGGAGGCCTGGTTTCTTTTCCATGAGCAGGATGAACAGGAGGGATTGAGCAGAAATCTTAACAGTATCCAGCTGCCACTGTCCCCAGTCCGGTGTAGAACAGGCAGGCTGGGTAGACATTGGGCTACTTGATATTTTTGTTTAAAAAGTCTTAAGCTGAACCCATTCCTGTCCAGACAATGTAACTCATGGTGACCCTGTAAGAGAACTTCTCTACAGGTTTCTGA